CTTAGCTGCTCAGGAGGCTGAGGTGGGAGGATCACTTGAACCCAGGAGACGGAGGCTGCAGTGAGCCATGATCATGCCACTGCACTGCAGCCTGGGCAACAGAGAGAGACCTTGTTTCAAGAAAAAAAAATTCCAGGGCTCAAGCAATACTTACTCGTCAGGAAGCTGAGGTGCAATGCAGCCAGCTAGAGTCCAAAAATGTTTTTTTTTTTTTTTTTTTTTTTTTTTTTTTTTTTGAGACAGTCTCTTGCTCTGTCGCCAGGCTGGAGTACACTGGCACAATCAATCTTGGATCACTACAACCTCCACCTCCCAGGTTCAAGTGATTCTCTTGCCTCAGCTTCCTGAGTAGCTGGGACTACAGGCATGTGCCACCACTGCCAGCTAATTTTTGTATTTTTAGTAGAGAAGGGTTTCACCATGTTGGCCAGGATGGTATCCATCTCTTGACCTTGTGATCCACCTGCCTCAACCTCCCAAAGTGCTGGGATTACAAACAAGGATGAACTTTTTTTTTTTTTTTTTTTTTTTTGGGACAGAGTCTCGTGCTGTCAACCAGGCTGGAGTGCAGTGGCACAATCTCGGCTCACTGCAACCTCCACCTCCCAGGTTCAAGCGATTCTGCTGCCTCAGCCTCCTGAGTAGCTGGGACTATAGGCATGTGCCACCACACCAAGCTAATTTTTTATATTTTTAGTAGAGACCAGGTTTTACTGAGTTAGCCATGATGGTCTCAATCTCCTGACCTCAGGTGACCCACCTGCCTCGGCCTCCCAAAGTGCTGGGATTAGAGGCGTGAGCCACCACATCTGGCCAAAATTCTTAATAGGATTATCCTATAACCTTCACATTCTACACACAATTTATACTTTCTACTTTTCTCTCTTTTGTTTTAAAAATATTTTTATTTTTAAAAAGACCGGGTCTCACTATGTTGCCCAGGCTGGTCTCAAACTCCTAGGCTTGAGTGATCCTCCCTCTTCAACTTCACAAAGTGCCGGGACGGCAAGTGTGAAGTGCTATACGTTTCTCTCTCCAGCACCTGGCATGTGCTTGCCTGTGCCTAACACCTTTCCTCTTATTCTCTGCTTGGAAAAATTCTGTTCCCGCAGAGGAAAGAGCAATCTGGATTCAAATCCTGGCTTTGCCATCTCCTCATCCCATGACCTTGGGCCAGCTGCTTAATCTCTCTGGGCCTCCCTATCTGGAGACTAGGGATCAAAATGGCCCCTATCCCCTGCGGTTCTCACCCCACAAGCCCGTTTGATCTCCTAGAAGCAAAACCCTCTGGCCTGCAGGCACATGCTACTGCCATCGTGGACCAATGACAATGCACTGTTCTCAATGAGTCTCTTAGTGACCTCCCTGAGAGAACAGGCTATGGATAATACCTCCTTGAATTATAATGCCAAGGCTCCGGGTCCACATGATCCCTGGGCAGTTGCAGAGAATTGAGAGCTCTCCAGGGAGCTGTCCCTCCTCCTGCAGCCTCTGCCCCTTCTGCTGCCATGTGATGAATCTGGGCCTTCTGCTGTCTCCTGGGCTCCCTGCTCACATGGGTCCCTCCAAAACAGAGACACTGGCCACCAGCTTTCCTGCCCCAGAAGAGCCTCCCTGCACTCGCAGGAGGAGCAGCTCACCTCGGCACACAGGCACGCACTTGCCCAAGCTGAAGAAGTGGGAGTGCAGCTCCTTGGTGAAGCAGATGTCTGCAGCTGCAGGGGTCCTGAGCGAGGATGGATGCAATCAGTCCTGCCCCCTACACCCCACTCCACCACCCTGCCCCCAGCATTGGCATGCAGAAGGGAGGCACAGGGGGAGGGCCTGTAGGGCCCCACCCCATGCCCTGCCTGGACTGCTGGACGCCACCTCCTGGGCAGAGCAGGAGGAAGGCAAATCTGGGCAGAGGCAGGTGGGGCCGGCCGGGCCCACTTCGAGGGGCCCATTCCTCCTCACCAACGCATCAACTTCAGGTTCCAGATGTGGCGGAGTTTCAGGATCCCTAGAGGAGAGGAAAGGCTTCATGCCCCAACTTCCCTTATACCCAGGCAGTGCCTTTCCTTCATCCCATTTCAGGGAATAAGGGACAAGGACAGCAGCACTACCAGTTCTGTACAGCTCAAAGTGGCATCTTTCAGACATTTAGTCCGGATCGTTCAGCTCTCCCCGGCTCCTCCCTCTCCCCCATCCTCCACATCTTACTCATCACTGCACCTGGACTGTCTACCTCCCCAACATACTTCTCCCTGTACTGTCACTGCCACCAGCGCAGTCTAGGCCACTGGACGGCTCCCAGGCCTCCTTCCTGACTTCTTAGGAGCCACCTGTGGCATCTCTAGGCCTTTCTCCACCCAGCAGCCAGGGTGAGCTCTGAAGGGCTCCAGTGTGGCCAGGTGGGTCCCCATGAGCTCTAGGACAGTGTAACCCCTCTGTTCAGGAGTGGAGGCCCCATGTACACCTCCACCCAGCCATCAGTTTATCGGCGCCAAGCAACTTCCTGTGAAGTCAGCAGAGCAGGAACTTCTCGGTGTGGCAATCTGGCTCCCACATAGGGCTGGCTGAAGGGTACAGGCCCAGCCAGGGGCAAACCTGGAGCTAGGACACTGGGTTTCCAGTCCCTGGCTCAGAACTTCCTCACAGGATACCCTATGACCAACCCCAATTTTTTCCCCAAGTCTGTGGGGCCCTGGATGGTTTAAAGAACAGACAGTTTACCGAGTTAGCCACGATGGTCTCAATCTCCTGACCTCAGGTGATCCGCCTGCCTCGGACTCCCAAAGTGCTGAGATTACAGGTGTGAGCCACCGCGCCCGGCCAAAATTCTTAATAGGATTATTCTTACCAAGTTTAACAGCCTGACGCTAAAGGAGCTGTAAGACCTGCTCCACTCCCCAGGCCCTCTGCAAATCATGCTCCCTCAGGGGATGCTGCAGGAGCCACACATCAAAGTCTCAGCCCTGGGGCAGAACACCCAGAAACCAGAGTGAAAAGGCAGTGAGAAGAGGTTTGTTCTGAGGAATTTGGGCCCCTCCCGAATCCTCGTCCTTCCTCCCCCGGCCCCGCACACTGGCCCAGGTACCCCAGAGATGAGGGTCATCCATGCAGGACTGGTGATTGGACACGGTGATGAGGGGCGTGGCCGGGCCTCGGTTCTCAATGAGCTCGTACAGCACCTCCTTGTTGTGCACGGTCAGGTGGTTCATGTACTCTGGCGAGGAAGGAGAGGTCCGACGCTCAGGGTTCGCCTGCCAGGCCAGGGCCGCGGCGTCCCCCACCGTGAGTCCACCTCTGGCCGGGCGTGGGTACCCGGGCGGGCCTGCCTCGGCCTGGGCCCACTCACTGGTCCAGAAGCAGCTGTAGGTGCCCACTAGGCCCATGACGACGCTGCTGGCCAGGGTCCAGGTGAGAGGCGGCACTGCGGGGAACGGCCACTTCACGTGCAGGGGCATCCCTACCCGGCCGGCGGCCGGCGCTCCCCGCGCTCCGGGCCGGCCTGTGGGGCGCCTGTAGGTCTGCAACCTCGATCGCTGGAGACACCAGCTCCTGACAGGCCCGCGCACAGACGGACAGGAGACGCGGCGCGACTGGGGACTGGACCGAGGTCCTTTCGCAGGTCAGGCCGGAGCCTCGCCCGGCCCCGCTCTCTCCCCCACTGAGGAGCGGTCGCTGGGGTCACAGGCTGTAGGTGCGCTGCGGAACAGGCGGGAAAGGGAAGGCGGGCGCTGGCGGCCTGGCCCCGCGCACCCGCCGGAAAGCAAGCCTGCGCCGGTGCCTGGCTCCCCGCCGACTGTCGCAAAGCCAGCCCGAACCGCTTTACGGCAGCGAAGCCTGCCCGGGGACCACGGGAAGTGGCCCCGCCCCCGCGGTGCTCAGGCTTCTCGGCAGCCATTTGCGGTAGTCTTTTGTTTCTAGTATTTCTGGTTTTTGTTTGACACAGGGTCCAGGCAGACCCAGGCTGGAGTGCAGTGGTGCGATCACAGCTCACTACAGCCTCGACCTCCCAGACTTAAGCGATTCTGCTGTCTCAGCCTCCTGAGTGGCTGGGACCAAGAGCGCGCGCCACCACGCTCGGCTAATTTTTTTGTTTTTAGTAGACACGGGGTTTCACCATGTTGGCTAGGCTGGTCTCGAACTCCCGACCTCAGGTGATCCTCCTGCCTCGGCCTCCCAAAGTCCTAGGATTACAGGCATGAGTCACCGTGTCCATCCGAGAACCAGTATTTTATATCACCTTATACATTCACAAGGTTGTTAGCTACTACCTCTAGTTCTGAAACATATTCATGACCAAGAAAAAACGCCCCCTATGTATTAAGCAACCAGTTTTTTATTTTTTAAGACAGTCTCGCTCTGTCGCCAGGCGCCAGGCTGGAGTGCAGTGGCGTGATCTCAGCTCACTGCAACTTCTGCATTCCGGGTTCAAGCAATTCTCCTGCCTCAGTCTCCTGAGTAGCTGGGACTACAGGTGTGTGCCACCATGCCCAGCTAATTTTTATATTTTAGTAGGGACGGGGTTTCACTATGTTGGCCAGGATGGTCTCGATGTCTTGACCTGGTACCAGTCCGCCTGCCTTGGCCTCCCAAAGTGCTGGGATTACAGGCATGAGCCACCTCACCCGGCCCAGTTTTTTTATTTATTTTTTATTTTTTATTTTTTGAGACAGAGTTTCACTTTGTTGCCCAGGCTGGAGTGCAGTGGCGCAATCTCGGTTCCCTGCAACCTCTGCCTCCCGGGTTCAAGCAATTCTCCTGCCTCAACCTCCCAAGTAGCTGGGATTACAGACTTGTGCTACCACGACCGGCTAATTTCATATTTTTAGTAGGTACAGGGTTTCTCCATGTTGGTCAGGCTGGCCTCAAACTCCTGACTTCAGGTGATCCTCCCGCCTCTGCCTTCCAAAGGGCTGGGATTACAGGCTGAGCCACTGCATCTGGCCTCCATTTTTTTTATTTTTAAACCATAATTTATTGATTTTTAATATTTTTTCCAGCCTTCTGCCTATCACCACATCCAATCCATTCGCTGCAACTATCCCATGCGGGGCTGAGTGGATCCGACCCCACTGCCGGCTCACAGATCCCGGGATGTTGGACTGCCAGATCTCTGGGTCTCCTTCTCTCTGGAGCAGATCCTCAGTCCCCTTGACCTCACGACCATGGCCAGATCGTGTTCGAACTGTCCCTCACTTTGGGTCTCCTAACTCAGGAGTGTGCAGCTACAATGGGACTCAGAACCCGAGAACAGGGACAGAAGACTCGTGTCCTTGGGGTGCCCAGTCTCACAGCGTTGGGCACGACTTTCAGCTACTGCGCCTTCCCCAGCAGCTCCTGACTCGGTACCTGGACCGGGGGCTGAGCGACGGGCTCGGCGAGTGAAGCTTGGGGTCTCACTCAGGCGCCAGCGCCTCCTTGCCTCTGGGCGGTGGCACAGGTAACTGCTTATTAAGGGATTGCTGCTGCTCAGCCGCAGAGACTGCTGGCCTGCCACGCTTGAGTGACTCACAGGTCTGTAGCGTCCCGCTGGCCCGGGAAGGCGTAATCTGGGTGGGAAGGTGGGCGGGCAGGTCAGCAGTTCCCAGGCGCGGCGTTAGCCCTCCTGGCCGGCGGCGGGGCGGAGCCGGGGCGGGCCTGCTGTCGGCCAGGGTGGGGCCTCCGGCTCGGCCCGGCCCTTCTAGGCCGGCCGGCTGGCTCAGGAACACAGCCTCTTCCTCTTTTTCCCCTTCCTAACCCTATCCAGGCAGGAGCTGCTCTTCTGGAGTGTCGAGATCCACTTAAGGATGAGGCAGAGTTGGTGACAAGCTGCTCTGAGCAGGTATGGGAGCCCCCTGGAGAGACGAAAGAAGGGAGGAAGTTGCCTTCTGCCTGGAAAGGGCTCGGGAGGGGGAGGGAACCCCATGGCTCCGGCCAAGGCTGTGTTGACAGCCAGCGTTTGGGGCGGAGGTCAGGAACAGTTGCCCTCTGGTTCTTGCTGGTAGGCCTCGTAGGGGTCCCTGATACCAGAGCCGCCAAGGCTGCCTGCACCAGCCCAGAGCTGGCCACATGCCCACATATATCCCAGAATAGGCACCAGGGCAGGGAACCCAAACTAGCATGAGTGACAGAGCAGGTGGTCAGGGAGAAACAGACATGAAACCTAGCCAGGAGAGAGACACCGCAACAGAGAGACAGATAAGGAAAGACAGAGTAGAGAGGGAAGGTGAGACAGAGACAGAGATGCAGGAACTGAGGCCAAAGGGAAGGTGACAGTGTGGTGGAGAAAAGCAGGCAGAGCAGAGGAACTCATGCCTCAGGATGCAAGCCACATGGACAGGGCATGGAGCAAGGGGCTGAGCCCAGCAAGGTCAGGTGAGCATGAGACAAAGATAAACCGGGGGGTGGGGGGAGGGGGCGGGCTCCAGCTGCTGAGATTAACAAGAAGGGCTCCCCAGTGGTGACAGGAATAGGGGAAAGAGGCCCCATCGCAGGTTGCCATGGGGAATATTTGGCCATATCTGAGATCTGGTTACATGCACATGCCCTTGTATGCAGCAATTCACTGCTGGGAGTTTGTCTTAAAGAGAACACCTCACAAGTAGGGAGGCAGAGATGAACGAAGATGCTCCTGCAGTTGCTAATGAAGGTGAAAAGCACTGGGGTCTCTAGCTTGCTGGCCAGGCATGGTGGCTCACGCCTGGAATCCCAGCACTTTAGGAGGCTGAGGCGGATGGGTCACTTGAGGTCAGGAGTTTGAGACCAGCCGGGCCAACATGGTAAAACCCTGTCTCTACTAAAAATACAAAACTTAGCCAGGTGTGGTGGTGCATGCCTGTAATCCCAGCTACTCAGGAGGCTGAGGCAGGAGACTCGCTTGAACTTGGGAGGTGCAGGTTGTAGGGAGCCGAGATTGCACCACTGCATTCCAGCCTGGGAGACAGAGTGAGACTCCCTCTCAAAAAAAAAAAAAGCCAGGCGTGATGGCTCAAGCCTGTAATCCCAGCACTTTGGGAGGCCAAGGCGGGTAGATCACGAGGTCAGGAGTTCGAGACCAGCCTGGCCAACATGGTGAAACCCCATCTCTTCTAAAAATACAAAAAAAAAAAAAAAAAAAAAAAAGGTGGCTGTGGTGGCACACGCCTGTAGTCCCAGCTACTTGGGAAGCTGAGGAAGGAGAATCGCTCGAACCCAGGAGGCAGAGGTTGCAGTCAGCTGAGACCACGTCATTGCAGTCCAGCCTAAGTGACAGTGAAACGCCTTCTCAAAAAAAAAAAAAAAAATTAGCTTGGTGCGGCAGCATGCACCTGTAGTCCCAGCTACTCAGAAGGCTGAGGGGAGAGGATCACTTGAGCCTGGAAGGTGGAGTTTGCTGTGAGCCAAGATCACTTTACTGCCCTTCTGCCTGAGAAATGGAATGAGACGCTATCTCAAAAAAAAGAAAAGAAAAAGTGGACTGAGCCAGGTGCAGTGGCTCAGGCCTATAATATCCCAGCACATTGAGAAGCTGAGGAAGGAAGATCACTTGAGTCCAGGAGTTTGAGACCAGCCTGGGAAACATAGACTTCAGAAGGCTGCAGTGAGCCGTGATGGCACCATTGCACTCCAATCCGGGTGACAGAGCAAGACCTTGTCTCAAATAAATAATAAAAGAATAAGCCTGGCCGCTTGTGCACTGTTGGTGGGAATGTAAAATGGTGCAGATCACCACGGAGACCAATATGAGAGTTCCTCAGAAAATTAAAAATAGAATTCATATGACCCAGCAATTCCACTTCTGAGTATATACCCAAGAGAACTGAAATCAGGAACTCCAGATACGTATACCCCTACATTCATAGCAGTACTATTCATAATAGCCAAAAGGTAGATGCGACTCAGGGACCATCAACAGATGCATGAGGCTGGGGCACCAGGGCTCTCATTCCTGCAGTCTCAGCACTTTGGGAGGCTCAGGCAGGAGAATCGCTTGAGCCCAGGAGTTCAAGACCAGTCTGGGCAGCATAGTGAGACTGCGTCTCTACTTAAAAAACAACAATGAAAACCAGATGGATGAATGAATGAACAAAATGTGGTCTACCCAGACACCTAGACAATGGAATATGATTCAGCCATGAAAAGGAAAGAAATTCTGACATGTGCTCCAACAGGAATGACCCTTGAGGACTTTTTGCTCAGTGAAATGAGCCAGTCACAGAAAGGCAAATGCTGTAGGATTTCACTTTTTTTTGAGTCGGACTCTCACTCTGTCGCCCAGTCTGGAGTGCAGTGGCAAGATCTTGGCTCACTACAACCTCCACCTCCTGGGTTTAAGCTGATTCTTCTGCCTCAGCCTCCTGAGTAGCTGTGATTACAGGTGCATGCCACCACGCCCAGCTAATTTTTGTGTTTTTTGTAGAAAACAGGGTTTTACCATGTTGGCCAGGCTGGTCTGAAACTCCTGACCTCAAGTGACCCGCCTGTCTCAGCCTCCCAAAGTGCTGGGATTACAGGCATGAGCCACCGCAAATGGCCGTGTAGGATTTTAATTCTTCTTCTTTTTTAATCTTTTTGGAGATGGAGTTTCACTCTGTCGCCCAGGCTGGAGCGCAGTGGCGCAATCTTGGCTCACTGCAACCTCTGCCTCCTGGTTTAAGTGATTCTCCTGCCTCAGCCTCCCAAGTAGCTGGGATTACAGGCATCTGCCACCATGCCTGGCTAATTTTTGTATTCTTAATAGAGACAGGGTTTCTCCATGTTGGTCAGGCTGGTCTCGAACGCCCGACCTCAGGTGATCCACCCATCTCGGCCTCCCAAAGTGCTGGGATTACAGGTGTGAGCCACCACGCCTGGCCGGATTTCACTTCTTTTTTTTTTTTTTTTTTTTTGTGGGGGGTGGTTCACTTCTATTAGGGATCTAGAGTAGGGAAGTTCACAGACACAGACAGTAGAATAGTGAGTGCCAAGGGCTAGAAGAAGGGGAATGGGGAGTTCAGTAGTTAATGAGGACAGAGTTTGGGAAGGTGAAAAAGTTTTGTGGATGAATGGTGACAGTGATAACACAACACTATGAATGTGCTTAATGCCACTGAACTATACACTTAAAAATGATGAATGTGGGGCCGGGCGCGGTGGCTCAAGCCTGTAATCCCAGCACTTTGGGAGGCCAAGGCGGGTGGATCACGAGATCAAGAGATCGAGACCATCCTGGTCAACATGGTGAAACCCCGTCTCTACTAAAAACACAAAAAATTAGCTGGGCATGGTGGCGCATGCCTGTAATCCCAGCTGCTCAGGAGGCTGAGGCAGGAGAATTGCCTGAACCCAGGAGGCGGAGGTTGCAGTGAGCCGAGATCGCGCCATTGCACTCCAGCCTGGGTAACAAGAGCGAAACTCCCGTCTCAAAAAAAAAAAGATGAATGTGGTCCATTTTATGCTATGTGTATTTTGCCACAATTTAAAAAAAGAGGCCAGGCTTGGTGGCTCATGCCTATAATCCGAGCACTTTGGGAGGCCAAGGTGGGCAGATCACCTGAGGTCGAGAGTTTGAGACCAGCCTGGTCAACATGGCAAAACTCCATCTCTATTAAAAATACAAAAATTAGGCTGGGCGCGGTGGCTCAAGCCTGTAATCCCAGCACTTTGGGAGGCCGAGGCGGGTGGATCACAAGGTCGGGAAATCGAGACCATCCTGGTCAACATGGTGAAACCCCGTCTCTACTAAAAATACAAAAAATTAGCTGGGCATGGTGGCGCGTGCCTGTAATCCCAGCTACTCAGGAGGCTGAGGCAGGAGAATTGCCTGAACCCAGGAGGCAGAGGTTGCAGTGAGCCGAGATCGTGCCATTGCACTCCAGCCTGGGTAACAAGAGTGAAACTCCATCTCAAAAAAAAAAAAAAAATACAAAAATTGGGCCGGGCGCAGTGGCTCAAGCCTGTAATCCCAGCACTTTGGGAGGCCGAGGCGGGTGGATCACGAGGTCGAGAGATCGAGACCATCCTGGTCAATGTGGTGAAACCCCATCTATACTAAAAATACAAAAAATTAGGTGGGCATGGTGGCGCATGCCTGTAATCACAGCTACTCAGGAGGCTGAGGCAGGAGAATTGCCTGAACCCGGGAGGCAGAGGTTGCGGTGAGCCGAGATCGCACCATTGCACTCCAGCCTGGGTAACAAGAGTGAAACTCTGTCTCAAAAAAAAAAAAAAAAAAAAAATACAAAAATTAAGCCAGGTGCGGTGGCTTACACCTGTAATCCCAGCACTTTGGGAGGCTGAGGCAAAGGATCACGAGGTCAGGAGTTTGAGACCAACCTGGCCAATACGCTGAAACCCTGACTTTACTAAAAATACCAAAATTAGCCGGGCATGGTGGTGTGCACCTGTAGTCCCAGCTACTCAGGAGGCTGAGGCAGAAGAATTGGTTGAACCTGGGAGGTGGAGGTTGCAGTAAGTGGAGATTGAACCACTGCACCCCAGCCTGGGTGACAGTGTGAGACTGTCTCAAAAAAAAAAAAAAAAAAAAAAAAAAGGCAAGGCGTAGTTGCTCACACCTGTAATTCCAGCACTTTGGGAGGCCAGGGTGGCCGGATCATGAGGTCAGGAGTTCGAGACAAGCCTGACCTGCGTGGTGAAACCCTGTCTCTACTAAAAATACAAAAAAATAGTCAGATGTGGTGGTGCGCACCTGTCATCCCAGCTATTGGGGAGGCTGAGGTAGGAGAATTGCTTGAACCCAGGAGGCGGAGGTTGCAGTGAGCTGAGATCGCGACACTGCACTCCAGCCTGGGTGACAGAGCCAGATTCCATCTCAAACAAAACCAAAACCAAAAACAAAACAAAATTAGGCCGGGCACCACGATGACTCACACTTGTAATCCCAACACTTTGGGAGGCCAAGGAGGACGGATCACCTGAGGTCGGGAGTCCGAGACCAGCCTAACCAACAGGGAGAAACCCTGTCTTTACTAAAAACACAAAAAATTAGCCAGGCGTGTTGGCGCATGCCTGTAATCCCAGCTGAGGCAGGAGAATCACTTGAACCTGGGAGGCGGAGGTTGCGGTGAGCCGAGATCACGCCATTGCACTCCAGCCTGGGCAACAAGAGCGAAACTCTGTCTCAAAAAAAAAAAAAAAAAAAAAAAAAAAAAAACAAAACCTCTTTCTGCCGCCATCTTGATTCCGCCTTCCCTGCACAAAATGCCCGGCGAAGCCACAGAAACCGTCCCTGCTACAGAGCAGGAGTTGCCGCAGCCCCAGGCTGAGACAGGATCTGGAACAGAATCTGACAGTGATGAATCGGTACCAGAGCTTGAAGAACAGGACTCCACCCAGGCAACCACACAGCAAGCCCAGCTGGCGGCAGCAGCTGAGATAGATGAAGAACCCGTCAGTAAAGCAAAACAGAGTCGAAGTGAAAAGAAGGCACGGAAGGCTATGTCCAAACTGGGTCTTCGACAGGTTACAGGAGTTACTAGAGTCACTATCCGGAAATCTAAGAATATCTTCTTTGTCATCACAAAACCAGATGTCTACAAGAGCCCTGCTTCGGATACCTACATAGTGTTTGGGGAAGCCAAGATCGAAGATTTATCTCAGCAAGCACAACTAGCAGCTGCTGAGAAATTCAAAGTTCAAGGTGAAGCTGTCTCAAACATTCAAGAAAACACACAGACTCCAACTGTACAAGAGGAGAGTGAAGAGGAAGAGGTCGATGAAACAGGTGTAGAAGTTAAAGACATAGAATTGGTCATGTCACAAGCAAATGTGTCGAGAGCAAAGGCAGTCTGAGCCCTGAAGAACAACAGTAATGATATTGTAAATGCTATTATGGAATTAACAATGTAACCATCTGAAAGCAACTTTTTTTGGTGTCTCAAAGGAGTAACTGCAGCTTGGTTTGAAATTTGTACTGTTTCTATCATAAATAAAGTTATGGCTTCTTGTTGGATGAAAAAAAAAAAAAAATTAGCCAGGCACTGTGGCTCATGCCTGTAATCCCAGCTCTTGGGGAGGCCAAGATGGGGAAATTACAAGGTCAGAAGATGGAGACCATCCTGGCCAACATGGTGAAACCCCGTATGTACTAAAAATACAAAAATTACCTGGGCGTGGCGGCACATGCCTGTAATCCCGGTTACTTGGGAAGCTGAGGCAGGAGAATCACTTGAACAAGGGAGGCAGAGGTTTCAGTGAGTCGAGATTGCGCCACTGTACTGCAGCCTGGTGACAGAGCGAGACTCTGTCTCAAAACAACAACAACAACAACAAAATACAAATATTAGCCGGGCGTGGTGGCACACATCTGTAATCCCACTACTCAGGAAGCTGAGGCACAAGAATCGCTTGAACCGGGGAGGCGGAGGTTGCAGTGAGCCAAGATCTCACCACTGTACTCCAGCCTGGGACACAGAGTGAGACTCTGTCTCAAAAAGAATTTTTTTTTTCTTTGAGATGAAGTCTCGCTCTGTCACGTATGCCGGAGTACAGTGGCGCAATCTCGTTTCACTGCAACCTCCACCTCCCAGGTTCAAGTGATTCTCTTGTCTCAGCCTCCTTTGTAGCTGGGATTACAGGTGCACGCCACCAGACCTGGCTAATTTTTGTATTTTAGTACAGACGGGGTTTCCGCATGTTGGCCAGGCTGGTCTCAAACTCCTAACCTCATCCACCCGCCTCGACCTCCCAAAGTGTTGGGAATACAGTCCTGAGTCACCGTGCCCAGCCTCAAAAATAATTTTTAAATGAAAAGATGCCGTCAGGCCGGGCACAGTGGCTCATGCCTGTTATCTCAGCACTTTTTTTTTTTTTTTTTGAGACGGAGTTTCACTCTTGTTACCCAGGCTGGAGTGCAATGGCGCGATCTCGGCTCACCGCAACCTCCGCCTCCTGGGTTCAGGCAATTCTCCTGCCTCAGCCTCCTGAGTAGCTGGGATTACAGGCACGCACCACCATGCCCAGCTAATTTTTTGTATTTTTAGTAGAGACGGGGTTTCACCATGTTGACCAGGATGGTCTCGATCTCTTGACCTCGTGATCCACCCACCTCGGCCTCCCAAAGTGCTGGGATTACAGGCTTGAGCCACCAAGCCTGGCTCCAGCACTTTTTTTATTTTTTGAGACAGAGTTTTGCTGTTGTTACCCAGGCTGGAGTGCAATGGTGCGATCTCGGCTCACTGCAACCTCCACCTCCTGGGTTCAGGCAATTCTCCTGCCTCAGCCTCCTGAGTAGCTGGGATTACAGCCACGCGCCACCATGCCCACCTAATTTTTTGTATTTTTAGTAGTGACGGGGTTTCACCATGTTGACCAGGATGGTCTCGATCTCTTGACCTCGTGATCCACCCGCCTCGACCTCCCAAAGTGCTGGGATTACAGGCTTGAGCCACCGCGCCCGGCCAATCCCAGCACTTTGGGAGGCTGAGGCAGGTGGATCACGAGGTCAAGAGATCAGAGAGTATCGTGGCCAACATGGTGAAACCCCATCTCTACTAAAAATAAAAAAAAATTAGGGCTGGGCACAGTGGCTCACACCTTTAATCCCAGCACTATGGGAGGCCGAGGCAGGCGGATCATGAGGTCAAGAGATCAAGACTATCCTGGCCAACATGGTGAAACCCCCGTCTCTACTAAAAATACAAAAATTAGCTGGGCTTGGTGGCATGCGCCTGTAGTCCCAGCTATTCGGGAGGATGAGGCAGGGGAATTGCTTGAACCCGGGAGGTGGAGTTTGCAGTCAGCCGAGATTGTACCATTGCACTCCAGCCTGGCACCTGGCGACAGAGTGAGACTCTGTCTCAAAAAAAAAAAAAAATTAGCTGGGCATGGTGGTGTACACCAGTAGTCCCAGCCACTCAGGAGGGTGAGGCAGGAGAATCGTTTGAACCTGGGAGGCAGAGGTTGCAGTGAGCTGAGATTGCACCACTGCACTCCAGACTGGCAACAGAGTGAGACACCGTTTCAACAACAACAACAAAATGCTGTCAAGCCATACACGCACACATCAGTAGGTGGCCACAGGGAGAAGGGTTGGGAACCTGTGGGCCAGCAGCTCTGGTAGGCTGGTGCTGGGCAGCAGCTAGTGCCACTTTCTCTGTTCGGTATCCTTGCCCTTCCAGAGCCAAAACTGAGCCCAGCTGAGAGTGTACCCTGGCGCAGCCTGGATTCCGGGAGGCGCCCGGCAGCCACACGCAGCTATGCACTACCCAGCTGCACTCCTCTTCCTCATCCTGGCCAATGGGGCCCAGGCTTTTCGCATCTGCGCCTTCAATGCCCAGCGGCTGACGCTGGCCAAGGTGGCCAGGGAGCAGGTGATGGACACCTTAGTGCGGGTAGGTTCATCGCTCCAGGGAAGCTGTGTCCCTAATCATGACCCAAAGCCCCCAGCCCTGCCTGGCCAGGGGTATGTCCCAGAGAAGAGGGGACAGGAAGAGGGAAGAGGTGTGGCGTGGAGATGCAGCACAGGTGCTTGGCTTGGCTGCCATTGGTCTCAGTCGCTTCCTCTGTGAAGCAGGCGGCGTGTGGGTGGGATGAGTCTTCTGGGGCCTTTCCAGTCCTACTGCTTTCTGTGGGCTGCAGCCAGTGAGCCTTAACATTCTTGGCCACAACAGTGCCAGTTTCCTGGGCCCACTGCCTCCTCTCAGGGCAGCTGGCACTGAGTCAGGCTGGCCTTCCCGGTATCTGGCAGATCCTGGCTCGCTGTGACATCACGGTGCTGCAGGAGGTGGTGGACTCTTCCGGCAGCGCCATCCCCCTCCTGCTTCGAGAACTCAATCGGTGAGGAAGGCTCTGTGGGTCTAATCAGGGGCGCACCCAGAGTCTCGAGGCCCTGACCCTGCCTCCCCTTTTGTCGGCAGATTTGATGGCTCTGGGCCCTACAGCACCCTGAGCAGCCCCCAGCTGGGGCGCAGCACCTACATGGAGACCTACGTGTACTTCTATCGGTAAGCATGGAGCTGGCAGTGCAGTGGGGAGTGGGTGGAGGGGCGTCCTTGGCCCTAATGTGAGGTGGCTCATTAGTCCCCAGGGCCATAGGCCCCCCATCCTGGGACAGCCTCACCTGCTTAGCATGCTTTCTCTTCTCAACACCTTTTGTTCTGGGCTCTTCCCATCCTTGATCCCCAACAGAGTGTCCATAGAGCAGGAGGCCCTCCTTCTCCAAGCACAAACATGGGGTCCCTCCTCCTCTCTTCTGTGGTAGCTTCTGCTCCTGGCGAGAGGATCCGTGCAGGCCACTTATAGCCCTTAGGTAGATCGGAGCTCCTAAGTCCCTGGGAGGACAGGCTGGTGGGGAGCCCTTTGGAGTCAGGATCCAGAGGGCAAGGGAGGCAGGCTGCAGGGAAGAACTAATTCTTTATATAAATAAAATTTCATGAGGTCTGGTATTTGCTCCAAAATAACTGGGTGGGCAGGGTACAGTGGCTCATGCCTGTGATCCCCGCGCTTTGGGGGCTGTCGTGGCAGGATCACTTGAGCCCAGGAGTTCAACGCTGCAGTGAGCTATGATTGTGCCATTGCACTCCAGCCTGGGCAACAGAGCGAGACACTGTCTCCAAAAAAAAAGATGACATCAAAGTGTCCAAATGACAAAATGTACTGTACCCAGTCCGTGGAATATTATTCAGCCAGAAAGAGGGATGAAGCACAGACACGTGCCACAGCATGGATGAACGTGGAATACATTGCAGGAACCGAAGGGCCACAGATGATCTGATTTCATTTGTATGAAATATCCAGAGTAGTAGGCAAATGTACAAGATACAGAAGAGATAGCGGTTGCAGGGAGAATGGCGAGTAACTGGTAATGGATGTTATGTTTTTCTTAGGGGTAATGGGTGATGATGTTTTAAAATTGATTGTAGCAATAGTTGCACAGCCTTGTGAATGTCCAAAAAAAAAACGAGTTGTATACTTGAAGCAGGTGAATTTTATGGCATATGAATTATGTCTGATTTTTTTAAAGCTCTAGAGACAGGCTAGGAGGGATGTGCCAGATTGCAGATGTTGGTGGAGGGTTAAGATGAGAGACAGGCCCCTCCCTGAGTGCCGTTTGGCACTTGCAAGCCAAAATCAGTGACGTGGGGCCACTGCTGCCCATCCCTTGGTCCTCCTAGGTCACATAAAACACAGGTCCTGAGTTTCTACGTGTATAACGACAAGGATGATCTCTTTGCCCGGGAGCCATTTGTGGCCCAGTTCTCTTTGCCCAGCAAGGGTAGGAAGGGAAGAAGGGTGGGCTTGGTATGTGGGAGCAGAAGGGTGGGGTCTGGCTGGCTCCACTGGGGAAGAAGGGCCAGGAGTGGATGGCAGCCCTCGGTCCCTGGGCCTTGCAGTGCTTCCCAGCCTGGTGTTGGTTCCACTGCACACCACTCCTAAGGCCGTGGAGAAGGAGCTGAACGCCCTCTACCATGTGTTTCTGGAGGTCTCCCAGCACTGGCAGACCAAGGTAGGTAGGCCTGGGCAGTTTGCACGGGAGGGACGATAGGGCGGCTCAGTGGCCAGCCTGATGGCTGCTCTGTCTTTAGGATGTGATCCTGCTTGGGGACTTCAATGCTGACTGTGCGTCACTGACCAAAAAGCGCCTAGACAAGCTGGAGCTGCGGACGGAGCCAGGCTTCCACTGGGTGATTGCCGATGGGGAGGACACCACGGTGCGGGCCAGCACCCACTGCACCTATGACCGCATCGTGCTGCACGGGGAGCGCTGCCGGAGCCTGCTGCACACCGCGGCGGCCTTTGACTTCCCCACGAGCTTCCAGCTCACCGAGGAGGAGGTGAAGGGATGAGGCCAAGGAGGGAGGGCAGGAGCTGGGTCACCGGGAAGCCCCTCGGCCCCAAGTACTGACACTGTACCACCACCCACTCCCAGGCCCTCAACATCAGTGACCACTACCCCGTGGAGGTGGAGCTGAAGCTGAGCCAGGCGCACAGTGTCCAGCCTCTCAGTCTCGCTGTTCTGTTGCTGCTGTCACTCCTGCCCCCTCAGCTGTGCCCTACCACCTAAGTGTCCCCCCTCTAGAGCCTGCTGCCTTTTAGGACTCAAACCCCAGCCTCCCCCCGTCTATCCAACCCTGTGACTGCAGTCCGCCTCCATCTTTTCTTTGATTTGCCTCTTGTTCTTTGGTTGGGCTTGTGTCTAGATTAGGAGAGGAAACCAGAGTATCCAAGGCTGGACTCATGCTACCTGCCAGGTAGTCTAGTATCAGGAGTGGAGACAAAGTGGGCTCCGGGTTGGGGGAGGGGAAGGGAGGGCTCAGAAAGAGGAATCAAGACTTTCTTTTTTTTTTTTTGAGACGGAGTTTCGCTCGTTACCCAGGCTAGAGTGCAATGGCCCGATCTCGGCTCACCGCAACCTCCGCCTCCTGGGTTCAGGCAATACTCCTGCCTCAGCCTCCCGAGTAGCTAGGACTACAGGCGTGCACCACCATGCCCAGCTAATTTTTGTATTTTTAGTAGAGATGGGGTTTCACCATGTTGACCAGGATGGTCTCGATCTCTTGACCTCGTGATCCACCCGTCTCGGCCTCCCAAAGTGCTGGGATTATAGGTGTGAGCCACCATGCCCGGCCAGGAATCAAGACTTTCTATGACAAAGAAAGTTACTAAGAACAAAACTCCCGATGGGTGAGATATGGCACTAGTGCATATCCCAGTGGGCCATCTTTATTGTGGATTGGGAAGAATCACCAGGAAACCATGAAGCCCCAGTAGCTACAAGGAGGGTGATTAAGCCACTCCATCAAACCACTTCCCTGAAACCAGCAAACACCGGGAAATGTTTCAGCTCATTGTAATCCAGTGAGCACTGCAGTCAGGCCCGTCATAAGCGCCACGCAGCTGTGCTTGCGCCACCCAGGTGCTGTCGTCTGGGCTGGCACAGGCTTCTGCCTGTCTGGCAAGGTCCAGCTAAGGCTGGCTAAGGCAACAGGTGCACACAAAAAATCTGCACCAGTTATGTAACCTAGAAAGCTCCTATCTGAACCCAGGAACCCCAGGAAAGGGGCTGCAGGACAGAGTAAAATGCAATGTGCCGAGCCCTCCCTCCCCACCTGCCACTGCCCAAAAGAGCAGTTAACAGGCCATGTATTAACTCTGATCACACTTATGGTATGGAACCATTGCCCCAAGGTAAACAATAAAGGTGTTCCCAGGTATGTTTGGCAAAAATAATAATAATAAATGAAGGTAATTAAAAACCTTAGAAATGGCTGTTGAGATTACAAAAAAACAGGCCTCTTGGAAGCCACAGGCTGGGGGCTGGGGCCAAGTGGGCCACCATACCCCAGCTCTGGCACCAGAAGCCTTTGGAGTTCCTGTCCCTGGGCCCAGATGCTCTGACCACACACGTGGCACTCTTCTTGTTTTGCTGCTCCCCCAAAGGTCATCACTGTTCAACTCAAGACATCCAGGATCCCCAGGCCAAAGCATGCCACATCTGTTCCCAGGTCTTTTTGTTACAAAGGAACAAAGGTCAGCGCAGACCAAATGGTGGTGAGGGATCTGGGAATGCAGGCTTTAGAAAGGGGAGGTGCATGGGGCTCAGGAGGCTGCTAGAGATAGGCAAATCCCAGGTGACACCATTAGTACTTGGATGATTCTGGAGACTTAGCTAAATCAGATGGCTGAGACCACACCCAGCATGACACACATGTACCCTTGCTAAATAAAGGCTGCTGCTGGTCAGCCTCTAGTCCACAGGCTCTCTTCATCCACATGTGTTGTAATAAGCAACACAATCCGAGGCTGACTTCAGCCCGTGACTGCAAGGCTTTGCTGCAGCTGTGCTTTATGAAAAGCACTTCAATGCTTTTCAACCTACTGCCTAGGACCTGGGGAGGTCCCAGTCAAGTTCCAGAGTAGACAACTGACACAAGGCCACCAGCCCTAGCCCTTTGCAGGGTTTGCTGCCTCATGAGCAGGGCTGAGTTGTTAACCAGTTTCTGAAGTCAAAGGGCAATGATGACTCCAAGGTTCTCAGAGAAGTTCCTTTCTCCTCAAGAATGCAGATACAAAGACACAGGTGGACAAGAAGTACATTTATTGGTTCATATTATGAGGGGACAGCACAGTGGAAGCCCTCATGAGTGCAGGGCCCGCCACTTGTCCAGAGGGCCACGATTGGGGATGTACTTAACCCCACAGCCATCTGGAATGAGCCGCTTCTCAGCCACCATGTCTTCAAATTCATCGGCATTGAACTTGGTGAAGCCCCACTTCTTTGAGATGTGGATCTAGGGGGCAATGCAAAGAGCTGAGTCAGGAGGCCTGTGGCAAGGTAAAGTGGGAGAAGGGGGCTGCAGAACCACATACCTTCTGGCGGCCAGGGAACTTGAACTTGGCCCTGCGCAGGGCCTCAATCACATGCTCCTTGTTCTGCAGCTTGGTGCGGATGGACATGATCACTTGGCCAATGTGAACCCTGGCCACAGTGCCCTGGGGCTTTCCAAAGGCACCTCGCATGCCTGTTTGGAGCCTACATTGGGGCAGTGGCAAGGTGAGACACATGAACATACATCTGGAAGGCCTGTCTCCAAGGTCCCTTAGAGCAACCCATACAAGAAACAGGCTGCATACACTACCAAGGAAGCTGCTGTTTGCAGCCATTGCACACTGGGCCCCCATGAGGAAAGGAACCCAGTCGGCTTAATTGGCTGCAGAGGATCCCAAGAACCACTGATACACCCTGCAAGGCACCACTGAGCTCCTCTGCCAGCTCTACCTGCTTGCTGGCAGATGGCTGTCATCAAGCTCAAAGCAAGGAAAGCCATTCCCACTACAAGTGTTTCCCTTCACCTGTGACTAAGAGGTTGCTAAGACTCGTGCTTTTTTGCTTGTGTCCACAACAGTCCATAGGAAGGAGTCCTACTGAGTGACCACTGAAAGTCACTTGCCAGCTGTGTCCTGGCTTTTCTAGTAGTCAGCCATGGTGGCTGAGTCACTGGGGCCACCTCTATGCTCTGACAAATTAATGCAAGCCTAATAATGTAGAGACTCCAAGTTATGGGATAATTGCCTTCAAAAGCCCCAGACCAAGCTCACCTGTCAGCCCCAGCACAGGACAACATCTTGTTGATGCGGATGACGTGGAAGGGGTGGAGCCGCACCCGGATATGAAAGCCATCTTTGCCACAACTTTTCACCATGTACTTATTGGCACAAATTCGGGCAGCCTCCAGGGCTAGGTAAGGGGAAGTGAAGCAGCAAAGTGAGAGAAGACAGTAGAGAAACATCCACCACGACCATCTCCAGCTCGCGGGAAATGTGTTGGCTGAGTTTTGGGAAAAGGCTCAAACTCTCAATACCTGTGCAGTGCATGCGAATGGGGCTGAGGGAGCAGGAGGACAACTGGGGGTGATTCACAGAGAATCCAGCCTTACCTTCAGAGGAGAGCTGCTCATATTCATCTGATACCATGTGGCCACAGAGTGGAAACTCGTCCACTTTTGCCTTCTTCCGCCCCAGGTCAAAGATGCGAATCTTGGCATCTAAAAAAAGGATTGGGTAAGTGTGCAGGGGGTGTCGCAGACGGATGCTGGGTCAGTAGGGCCAAGCTAGTGCAGCAGCTCTTCCACTACTTACCAGGGACACCTCGGCAGAAGCGAGACTTTGGGTACGGCTTGTTCTTACAATATCGGTAACTGCAGGGGAGTGGAAAAACCCAGGTCAGGTGAGGTTCACAGAAAACTCAACCATCAACCCAAACGAGGGAATGCACCTCCACTTCTAAGCTGCTTCCATTCAGGGAAATGAGCTCCAAAGCACAGAGGGCACCCAAGTAGAAACATAAAAGCTACCTTTTCCCGTTACTTTGTCGTACGCGTCCTAGAAAGTAAACACTTAGCAACAAGTTTTCCTAGTTAAAAATGCTCTCTCAAACACTGTGTACTACAAATTCACCGCATTATCATTCCACAGTTCAGGTCACCCAAACTGAAGACTTTTGGGCACGTGGCACTAAATCCACCTCCGAGCCGAGTGGAAAGGCGTCTGGTGCCCGCCCCCTGTCGGGCACACGAGGCGGCTGCATCTGTTTTTCCCGGACTGCCCTTCACGTCCGAGAAGGCACGCGGCACGTCGCCCGGAAATAAGACAGGGAACGCACACAAAGGGCCCGAGAGGGTATCTAGCGTACGAAAACGCGGTGAGCTTGCAGGACAGAGGGGGAGATATGAGGGGTACGTCGCTTCCACATCGACACGGGAACGAAGGAACAGACAATACTACTTAAGACTGAAAAAGAATCGGGGGATGTGAGGCAAAACACAGGGTCAGTTCCCAAGACAGGGCCGCCGCGGGGAGAGGGGGGCTCCACCTCACAGGTGCTTTCAGGGGCCAAAGGTAGTTCTTTCCCCGCTCATTTCCCAGTCGTTAAAGTACATGGATTCAAAACTCACCAACGGGCGGGGCGGCGGCCCATAGCGACACCAGGATCTTCAGTGGCTGCAACGAAAGAGAGAGTCGGAACGGAAGACGAGAACAGGCCTAAAACCAGCGGTCAGAACCTGCAAGGGCACGGCCAGGTACCACAAGCGCGCTTACCGTGCCGAAGGAAAAGAGGCGCTCCTACGCCTGCGCGTGCTTTATATAGACGGTCTATCTTCCCACGTAAGAACCATAGAGTCCTGGCGAAGGCGGATGGACGCTCTGTCAGACGTCACGACCATAGACGCGGGCGTAGCCTAGCACATGCGCAGAGTAGAGAGGTGGCCGGGTACAGGGGCTGCGGGCGGCCAGCTGACGAATGGGGCTTCGCCACCTGGTCGCGAGAAGCCGGTTTCCGGCTGGCCATCTTGGGCGTAGAACTCTTGCCCTAGGCTTTGCTGTTAACTATGACAGACGTATATTTCCAAGAATGGAAAAAAGGAAAGTACCCTGGGTGGGCCTCCCAGCGACCGCGAAAGTATCCCCGAGCTTGCGCGGGTCGCGGACACGCGCTCCATGCCTCTTGCTAGGCTAGAGGGCCCGGCGGTGAAGCGCCATACCGGGTCCTAGGCCGGCGTTCCTTTGTCAACCCGGAAGGCCGGAGCAGCAGAGTCGCCCTCTAGACCCATTCCCCGACCAGAGGGGCAGGGCTAGGAACTGTGCCCCTTATCCCCGTTTCCTGGATACCAAGGGTTCGCACATTGTCGCGGGGAAGAGACCGAGAAGTCTCCACAAAGATCTATAGCCTGGGAGACTCCGGGGGCATCACTAGGCCTGCTCCTCCCACCCTGACCCGCACCCTCCCGGCCAGCTGTGTCTCGGGCGCCACCTCCCGTGAGCGGCTCTCGCTTGG